TTTTGTTGCTCATTGTTCTAGTCCAGAAACTCAGCACTCTCCAGACTTCTCATAGTGCAGGTTCCACAGTGTCATGTGACTACAGCTTCTAAGACTCCTTGGTGATTTTGATCTTGTGTGCCTCTCTGTCACCACTTGGGATTTGCTCCCTAACCTGTGCCATGAACACCTCTCTGTCGGACACTCACTCTGAGACATATGCTGAAAGTTTTCCTTGACTTTTCAGAAATTTCCCTTTGTCCCAAATGTCCTTTCCTGTCGTTTAGTTCTTGAATCCTTAAGTAATTCTTCTTCTTAAAAATTCAATTTAATCTCTTGCTTAGAAGCTTTTCCTACCTTTCACAGGCATAAGAAATCACAGGCTTCTCAGTGCAGTCACTCTGTGTCCTGAGTCCATTTCTGTATTCACATATAACAGGTTGTGTTTTAATACCTGCTAATTCATTTATTTAGTCTTCACAGCTGCACATGGGAATAAACAAGGATGCTGAGGTCTCAAAATTTGTGTGGGCTCACAAAGTTCTCTGAGCAGTGAAAGGCAGGTATTCACTTCCAGTGTAGGACTCTTGTGTCAACTTCGCATTCACCAGGTAGCCTTTTCTCTTGAGAAAATCAAAAGGATCAGTTATGTTCAGATCCATTTTCTAGGGGATAATTGAGTCTTTGTGACTGATTGGGTACAACTCAATTCTGCTTTGAGTTTTTTTCTAGTTTTCTAAGCCTATGGATATCTCACAACTACTTGAGTTGTCTCAGCCTTGTCCCTCATCACCTTTGTTTGTGATCTGATGCACAATGTCTTTCAGACATTTCTCTCTGCTTTTCCTTTCTCTGTTATTTTTTCCTTCGATAGATTCAATGCATGTGACTAGTATTGCACTCTATTAACGTTCTTCAGCCTTTTTGTAGGAAGCTGACGATAGCTTTAACTTTAATTCTTGATGGTCTATACTCAGTAACTATGTCCAGAGCAGTCATCTTCTCATGTAACCTCTTAGACTTGACATGTCCAGACAGAAACCACTTTGGAGCACTAAAGACTATAATTTCCTAGATATCTAATGATGTGTTAAGAATTCTTAACTTCATTTACATACACAGCCAAAAAGAAATCTGTGAGCCGCTGATGTTATAAAAAATTATTTTAGAAGTGATTTCTGAGGTTCTGTTCATATTATGTAACAACTACTATGTATTGTCAAATGATAATTTAGTCCTTTCTCTTAGACCCAGGTCCTTACTTGCAGTTGTTTGCAAGACTCTGTGCATGTTCATAGACACTTTTTTCCACCATATGTAAAACTGAGTTTTTAAAGCATGTTCTCTAAACTGCATTTTTCCAACTTTTGTGTCAATATCTTCAACTTTTCCTTTTAAGCCCCATTAAACTAAAAGCCATACAGTTATTTCAAATCATGGGAAATGCCTTAAATATCTACCAAATCCAGCTATCCTTTAGCAACGAATCGTCTTAATACATGATTCCCACTCCTACTCTTAGGATAGTGGTCACTTGCTGTCTCTTGGCTCTATTAGTCATCTTGTATACCACAGCGACAGCAATACATTTACTGTCAGGATTCTTGTTACTGCCCATTTATTAACACCAACTCCTCAAACTGCTAATTGAGAATTTGAGAGGTGTGGTTTTTTTATTGCATGTTTACTCTGCCCTGGATTTGCCTCTTTCTAGCTGTTTCCCCTCTCCTCTATCAGCCATTTACTTGGATGCTGTTTTTTTTTCTGGAAAGCCTTCCTGAACTAATTAATCATTTCAACCTCTCAGTTTTATAGCACCCATTGTACTATAATAGTTTTTCTGTGTATCTGCCTATTGTAGTACTTTTCTATTCTTGAGTTCAAGATTAGAAAGCTCAACATTTAGTCATCCATTCATTTCACAAATGCGGTATGATATCTATCATAGACGGGGAATTCAATGGATATTCATTGAGGAAATAAATGGGCAAGTAAAATAATGGCTGTGTGGTTTTCATGAACAATTCTGCAGTTTCCCATTCCTTATTTTTCTGAAATGTCTTTGTAAATTTCTCAAGTTCATAACACACACACACACACACACACACACACTAGTGGAAAAGTGACATTTTATATTATTGTAATTGTTGAAATGAAGACACACATGTAACAACTCCAAGTAATATCTACATTAAGGTTGTGGAATTTGTGGTTATTGTTAACAGTCAAGTTCTTTATATTTTAAAATGCCCCATCTTTCTTTTAGATTACAAATTATACCAGCCTTAAATATGGGAATAAAATAAAATGAGGTGTTACATATTCACTTTGAGTCTACTATACAATGAAACACATGCACACACATTCTAATTAAACATTTCAAGGTTGTATTATTTCCTACTCTTTAAAGAAGGTCCTCCAAGATAAGTCAATTATTTTATAGATTCCCTAAAAATCACTTCAGCAACTTTAATCTATAAAATAAAACTATTATTTCATTCACCATGGCCAACAATTTTATCTCTTACCTGATATTATACAAATGACTTTTTACTTCAATTTTTAACATTCATAGCTCCAGGTAAATGGTAGGAAATTAACTAATACTAGGTAAGATAGCTATTTTTACTGCAGAGGCTGTTGGCCTTGTAGTGATTCAGGTGTTTATTAAAAAAAAACTACAGTGTCCTTTCTCCTGTGACATGTTTATAGTACTGTCAAATTGAATTTGCTTCTGGCTAGAATTTTCTTTCTTTCTTTTCTCATCAATTTAATGTATTCTGTCCTCTGTGCCTGGTATGTGCTCCCCTACCAGGAACACAGGTCCTAATCTATTTTTGCACACAAGTATTTTCTTACATGATTTAATACCATTTTTTCAACAAGGTAGAAGATAGATCATTCACCAATGGCCTACCCACACTAAAGTTAAATAATAATAAGTGAAGTTATATTAACTAAAGAAAGAGTTAGTTTGCTACCCTCCAGAAACATGGAGTAATGTATCATATATAATTGATAATAGTTCTTTTAACATTAACATTTCTTCTTTGCAATTGAGTTTTACTTTTAAAATCTGTTTAAGACACTTAACCCTCATAGTTCTAGCAAAAAAGGACTCTTCATTCATTTTAGCATTGAGCAATATACATTCATTGTTGCTAAAGATTAAAAATTATGATTCAAAATAAGCATCATTTTAAATGTCTACCACAATCAATCACTCTGAAGAATTTGATGTTATTTTGTTTTCTGAATGATATCATGTCTTCATTTGAAACTTTCTGAAAAGTCAAAGCATTCATTGGTCAAATTTAAATAGAAATATTTATTTTATAATTTTTGCTTCTGGTCTAATATCAGATAATCTTAACATGTATTTTAAATTTGAATGACTGAAACTCTTAACTGCTTAATAACCAAATTTATGGGTTTATTTTGGAACTGCCAAATGATTTTTTTATCTTCGTTATCTCTTTAAGGTATTACTATTGTTTTTAATGGACCACCTCTGTCCCAGCATTAAAGTCAACAGTTTCAATGGTATATCTTTGTTGTGAATTGGAAATTAATTTGAGAGAAAATATACATTTGATTTGTGTGATATTCATCAATCAATTCATGTGGAGTTTCAACTTTCTACCTGTGAGTCTTACAGGGTCAGAATCAGCCTTCTGGGACTAAGAGCAAGGTTGCACTAGTCTTTGCTATTAATAGTCTTTGATGGGTAATAGACAATCATTGTGAAAGTGTTAAAACAAAAGATAACTAAAGACACTAGAGATATAAACGGTAGACAATTAAACACTATTAGAAAATGCCCTTCTTATAAATATAGTTAATCAGTCAATTAAATAATTAACTCAATGGACTAAATCATTGATCAAGTGAAGATAACCAAACCACTATTTTAAAAAAGTAGATTTGAAGGAATGAACACACACGTTTGCTCAGATAACTTTTCTTCCTAAGGCATATTTCTTCTTTGTTTCCACTTCTTTAAGGCTGAGGATTGCTGTTTTCAGCTGGAAATTACAACTCAATCCAAAATTACACACTGTTTATCTGATTTCTCAAAATGAACAGACTGTAGGACTGAGTTCAGAATTAGGCAGAGCAATTGAAGCATTGGAGTCTTTAATCTCAGTAATGATACTCTGCAGTTCTTAGCTATCTAGGGGGTTATTTAGGCTTGTTATCTTTTGCGTCTCATTTTTCCTTCCCTTCCTTCATCAATGAAGGCAGGTGGCCAGGAGGACTAATAGCTGGAAGCATTTTTTTTTAAAAAACAGAATCCAAGCTGTTTTTTAAGCAGAATGTCTTAAAACAAAACAACAAAAAGCACCGTTCTTTGCGGTTTATTTGTAAAGCAACAGGTCTACTTTTATGAGAGAAATATGACATGTGGTGAATAGAAGGTTCCTGATTCTGGTTAATTTCAGTACTTCCTGGTGATGGATAATTAGGACTGAGTGATCTTTAATCTAAATTTGTGTGTACATCTACATACACCCTAGCTGGATGAAAGCAATGATTTTACTAGGTATTGTGAATATATGTGGTGGAATGGAGAAGTAGGGAGACCAAGGTTAACTTGTTCTAATGAGGCTAGGTATAGTGGTTTAAATAGATAGGATTCGTGCATTGACCTGACATGAAAATGCTATTGGAGACTGGAATTGTTGTCTACACCCTGTAGATTACACAAACAAGCCTGTATCTTATCATTGTCATATGTGTCCACTTACTTTATGCACTGATAAAACAGTTGGGTGTTTTTATTACTCAGGGCTTACAGCAGCCTATTGATTTTGTTTCATGTTATGTTTAAATCAACTGTCTTTATTTTATAGTATCCAAAGGGGTTATTTTATTTACTGAGTTTCCTTTGGATGTGAGTCTTACCATGGGAGACTGATGAGCACCGTCTGTTAAGTGACACACACACTGTTCATGTTTTCTGGCAGATTCTCCCATAACCATGAATCACCTATAATATTATCCCATCTACTGTATTACAGGAAAAGCAAAGATTTCTGACAGATGTTCTACATGAAGTGATGCTGCTTGATGGCTTGGCCAGTTCCCATCCGGTATCACAGGAAGTGCTAAGGGCAACAGATATTGACAGAGTGTTCGACTGGATCGCTTACAAAAAGGTGGGGTAGAGAAGAGACACATGCCAAGGAGCTATTTCACTATTGGGATAGACAGCCTATTTCATGTCAGAAGTCTTGTATTTTTGTGTTATTTCTAGCAAATGAAAATGGATTGTAGGTAGGAAAGGAGTTGCTAGATTCTTGTAATTCCGTAGATAACAATTTGCTTTATAAATGAGTAAAATGGAAATGAGTGTTTGCCAAACACTGTGTGGAAATAGTCTAAGTATTAATGTATAAATGTTTGGGAACTTCGTTTGATATTGCTGTACAAATGGCCTTATGTAAATGTCAGTTTTTAGTATTAAGAACATTGACTTAACTAGTGACAAATTCCTTCTGCTAGTGCCCTTTAAATACTTGATTGGCTGATGCAAATGGGTCTGTGTAGTAACAGAACACATACATCTAATAATAATTATTATATCATATAATAATGATAATTATTATTATTTAATAGTTTTAAAAGAGTTTTGTGGAACTGGTCATGTTTATGGATACGATGGCAAAGTAAATGGAAATTTTGAATCAGTGACTCGTTATAACATTTTAGGTACATTTCGGTTTTTTCACTGTTACAAGGGTTAGGATTTATCCTTATATCTTTACCGTTTGATTTAATTTTAATGTGAGGAAATATGTCTTAGCCTTGACAAATAGTAGTCACCTAGTAGTCAAAATGTGGTTAGTTGTCTTGTCTATACATATATTTATTGTGGTAAGTAGAAATAAAAAGAATGTACCAATTAGTAATGCAGGCAATAGTATGTTTTGATGTTTGTTAAGAGAAAATGTCATTGCATTTGATCAAGGAGAGAATTTCTGTTATTTTTAGGAATGATATCATTTAGGCTCATGACATATTTGTCATTCTTATTTTAATTTTATATGTGATGGATTTTGGCTATGTTTAGCTTGCTATATATTTAATTTATTTAATAATAATAATATTTAAATATAATTTCAAAAATACTGTGTTAAGACATTCCATCCTTGATTCTAAAAGGCTGTTTGTAAATAATAGTTTTACTTTAACATGATTAAAATCATGACAATATTCTTCTGATCAAATGTAACTTTATATAGTATTCCTAATCTTTATTTCATAGATTTGCAGTATCAAGATGATTAAAGGGGGTTAACAATAGAAACAGTAGTACATCTGAATATATGGTGATTTTCCTTCTGCTCTCTTTACATTTTGGCAAAGAGGCATGCCAGTTTGCTGATATGAAAAATCAGCCACCTGTGATGAGTTTCTCAGGATTACTGCTGAGATAGTTTCTGATAAACGTTTTACCAGCTGTATATCATTAAGTTTCAAACATCAGTAAAAATGTCACCTTTGGTCTGATATTTGAAAAGTGCCATTGTTGTATGATAAACTGTGTGTGTGTTTAGAAGGTACAGTCTTATAAATTCCAGCACATGTAGGCAGTGAGAATTCCATGGCAGTCGAGAGAAGAACATACACATCACTGTAAGCACTTCTCAAGCCCATTGTAAATCCTGCCTTATCCATGCTGATTATATTTACTATTAATTAGTTTGCATTTTTGATAGTTTTATAGAAACAATATATATGTATGTTTACAGTAATTTTCCTTCTTTCATTCACTATAGTCCTTTCAAGATACATACACATTAACAATTTATACATATGCAAAAATTGTTCATATTACTAGATACATGAGCTGTTTCTGAGTTTGAATATTGAAAATATTATCGCCTAGCTCTCTGCACAACCTCAGGCATCTTTGCTAGCTCTAGTCTCCATGTCCCATCTACTCTTTGTGTTTGGAACTCAGTGTGGGTCCTTGTGAGTCTTGCGACTTTCCAGGTTTCCAGAATCTGGTAAGTTATGTGAGTTTCCCGAGACTTGTACACTGCATTAGCTTTTCTCCATTCTACCAGAAAGAATGCTTCAATTAAGATGAAATGCCTAGAAAACAGAGTCAGTCTTTTCTCCCCTGAGTTGCCTTTACATAGTGCTGAAAAACACTGACTCATACACCTGTGGATTGGTTTCTTTGTTTCTTATTCTGTTGCACTCCTACATGAACGTATTTGGCTCAGGCCCCACACAGTCCTGCTTGCTGTTGTTTCTTTGTAATGAAATCATGAAATAAGACCATGTCACTCTTCCTGATGGCTTTCTTTTAAGTTTCTTCAGTCCTTCATGGTCTTTTGCATTTACACAGAAATGAGTCTGCTAATTCCTGCAAAACTTACACTAGAATGGTTAGGACTGTGTTGTATTAATAAACAATCTGGGGAACTGTCATCCTAACAATACTGCTTTAACAGACAGAGTGGGCTACGATTCAATTCTGTCAGGTCCTCATCCTGTTCTCTAAGCTGTGTAGGTAATAGCAATCTTTCATACCATCTTACAGATTTATCTCTGAGTATTTCACATTGCAAACTATTAAACTTGGCATTTTAAATTCGTGATTCTGAGTTTTTGTCACCTATATAGAATGAACATTGTAAAATTGAAGGGGTCAAGAGTATTGGTTGCTTTTCCATTAGGCTGTGTTTTGGTTTCCTAGCACCCACATGTTGGCTCACAACTTTTTATAACTCTATTTCCAGGCCATCCACTACTCTCTTCTGGCCACTACTGGCATTTCATGTATGTTGTGTACAGACATACTTGCAATAAAAAAACATTCTCACATTAAAAAAATTGTAAAGTTAGAATTAAATTCGTTTTTAGACTTCAACAATAAAATAGTTATAATTTTTGTCCATGAATGTTTTATTTGCTAGTGGAGAATATGCCTATTGCAGTCTTTTTAAAATTATATTTTTCTGGTTTCTGAAATTTTCATGAGTGGATAAAATGTATCTTGATTATCTCCATTCATCACCTGCCACCTCCAAATCTTATAAGGAACCCTAGTGATTATTCCTTCTAAAATCATGCCCTCCCTAAATATTTATTTATGTATGCATTTTAAAATTAAGTGAGTCCAATTTGTTATTCTCATCTGTACTAACACATGGTGTCATCCACTGCTGCATGGAAAACCTACCAAGGACCACACTCCTAAGGAGTACAAATGAATAATAATGATTAATTATTTTTGATAGTCTGTGCTAGGCATTGTGACAATGTTTTATCACCTTTTATTTTAATTCTTGTAGTCATCACATGAGGTTTTTTATTAATATGACTATCATTTTAAAGATAAGACAATGATAGTCAATTCAGGGTATGTTTCCAAGGAAATCAGGTTTCAGGGCTCTTATTCATCAATATTGTATTTGAATAAAAAGCTTGGCTGCTCCAGATAATTCCAAGATTTTTGAACAAGCCTTTGCCTATGTTCTGGGTACTTCTGTGTGCTGTGGGTATAATGATAAGACATAAAGGAGAAAGATAACAGAAATAAATGAGACTATTTAAATGTAAATGTTTACATTTTAAATGTAGAAATCTTAGTGAAACAATTGGAAATACTTATTGATAGAGTAAATAAAATTAATTGGTAAATATGAGGTGTAGTAATAACTTTAGAATTGTTAAGTGAGATATATGAACCACACCATCAGAAAACAACTTTTTTTCAGTTTCTTAGCAACTTCGCTATATATTTGATGTTTTAGATAGGTGGTATCAGACTAGGTTAGTCTAGGCAGGTCATCACTATTGTGATCTCAACATGCTTCAAGGAGAATTCTTTATTTCCAGATAGAACATGTGCCTATCTCTCCAGAGAGCTTTGCTTTATTTAAATGAAGTAATTTGATTGACTAATCCCTGTATCCACAGGGATGTAATATTCTGACTGGGCAGTGTAGGCCAGCAGCTTTTCCTCTGTTGTGGCAGAATTGTCAGGAAACACATTCTGTAGAGGAGGCTCAGTGGTGGAACACCATGGAAATTATGGAAGGCGTGAAGGAGTCATATGAAGAGCAAAGGTTTGAGGGAGTAGACCTTCAAGTGGGGCAAGTTGGGTCAGCACCCACAAAGCCCTTCTGTCATGAGGAACTTCTATTGAATACAGCAGCTTGAGAAGATCCGAAGTTGCTAAAAGATGATGTATCACACTTTTAATACTGTCCTGGGTGGGTGGGTTAGGGTAAAAACCCTATAAATACAGTAGAGATGGAACTGATTTGATTGATCTGGACAATTTAGACTAGATATAGGGACTGTAAACAGAAGACATTTTGGAGTTATTATAAATATCATTTAATTTTAGAAATTGCTTGTTTTCTCTGTGGTCCCTCCCTGAAGATCTGTTATTAAACAACACTGACCTTGGCAGACAGTCAGTACCCATTGCATTTCTATTTCTTTGCCTTATTTATCATCCTATATAATTATTCCTTTAATAATATCATAATTTGTGATGATATATTGGCTATGATTTAAAAAAGCCACTGGAGATGAAAATGCAAAGCTAGCCACAGCCTTAGAACCAGACAATGGTGATACACACCTTAAATCCCAGCATCTATGCTAGCTAGCCATAGAGGTCAGGCAGTGGTGGCAAACATCTTTAATCCCAGGACTCAGGAGACAAGGCAAATGAATCTCTGTGAGTTCAAGGCCACCCAGGGCTTCATAAAAGTGAATCAGTCAAAGAATAACAGAGCTCATGTTTTTAATCCCAGTACTAGGTAGGTATAAAAGGAAGAATCAAAGGGTCTCATGTGAGATTTAGTTTCCAGAAAGGGTGACCATTGTCTCTGAGGATTCATGGAGATGGGATTGTCATTTCAGCTTGGTAGAGGTAAGAGCTACTGACTTGCCTGCTTTGTTTTTCTGATCTTCAGCATGAACCTCAATATTTGTCTCTGGGTTTTTATTATTTGTGTTACACTAATTATACCTACCTTTATTCTTATTCTTCTCAAATTATAATTTCACTGAACTTTAAATAATTTGCTGAGAATAATATAACAAGAGAATAGAAAGTTATAGAGAAATCATGGGCATAACTAGTAGATCACATACTGATATTTTGTGGAGTTGATTTTGAAGATGG